TCCTTCAGTCGTGGAACAAGTATGGATAAGAGCCTCATCTCTGGTCAGAGCTGGGCAAGGAGCTGAGGCAGGTCTGAGCTGGCCCCTGCCCTACAAGCAAGCCATCTTGTATGTGTAATCCTCAGGAAGACAGACTTTTCCATGCCTCTGAGAGCTCGTTTGCTGAGAAGGAAGGGCCACTTATTAAGCATTCAGACACTGGCGCTCCAGCAGATTGTTGAGGCCATGGGCTATGAAGCCAAATAGCCTGGGGTCGTGCTCTGCCAATTATTAGCAAGTCACTCAATGAACCTTTCTGAGTGTCAGTTTCCTCACCTGTAGAATGGGGATGATAAAAGCCCACAAAACTGTTGAGTTCTTAAGAAGTACTCAGTAAATAGTAGCATTTGTGTGTGTGTGTGTGTGTGTGTGTGTGTGTGTAACTGTCAAGTATTCAAGGTCAGCAACATCGTCCCATCTTCATATGAGGAAATTGAGGTGCAAAGGGTTAAATGATGTGCCCAAGGTCAGAACAAGGCACTGGCATCAGACTCATTAACATTAGCCCTGAGTTCTTACAACTGTTTTCCAGGAGCTAAGCAGTACTCAGACTAGGCGGGAGAGAATGGGGTCTCTTATGGGCACAACTTGGAGAAGGGAATTGAAGGAGAAATAGACTGGCTTCTCGCGCTGGATTTCCTTTCCATTGGATTGTTGTGACCAAGAAGATAACCTCTTTTCTGAACTTTAATAGGTAGCTCCAGAGCCTTCCACCTTGTCCCCTCCCCTCCAGGCCATACAGCTATCCTACGACATTGCTCAGCTTAAAAGTCCTTCCTGGCTTCTCACTTCACAGGAGAGGGACTCCACACTGCTGTCACAATCTGGCACTAACCTAATTTTCCAACCTTCAAGTGTCCTGCTTTCCAGGCAAACTGAGCCATTGCTAATCCCTGTGCACATCCAGGGCCTTCCAGCTCCGCCTCCCTACCCTCCCCTGACTATAGGACAATCATTTTCTACTCTGTGGTCTTTGTTTTTCAAATGAACATCCATACCCCAGGGCACTGGGTGTTCTTTGAGGAAGGATCCACTTATAATTCATGTGCTCCTAGTTACACCTCTAGTAATTCCACTAGCAATGAAGATGGGGACTTTGATATAGTAGGCAACAATGAATACTTGTTGAAAAAAATGACATAAATAATAATGTTAGTAATAACAATAAGCTAAGAGTTATTAAGTGTGAACTATGTCCCTGACACTCCTCAAAATGCTTCACACGCATAACTCATTTAATCCTCACAACCACTGTGAGAGGCAGTTTCCGACAGGCTCCCGTGGATCCCTCGCGCCTTCTGGCAGTCACACCATGTCTAATCCCCTCCCCTGAGTGTGGGCTGGACCTGGTGACTTACTTCTAATGAACAGAATACACAAAAGTGATAGGATGCCACCTCTGAGGTTAGGTGACAAAAGACTAGGACTTCCGGCTGGCTGGCATTCTCTCTTTTCCTCTCCCTTGCTCTCTCTGATCATCAAACTGACACGCTGCGAGCTGCCTTACGCAGAGATCCATATGGCGAGGGACCATGGGAAGCTCCTGGACAACAGCGTGGGAGTAACTGAGAGCTGGAACTCAGACCCAACCATCGGAAAGCAACTGTATCCTGACAACACCGCCTTGAGTGAGCTTGGAACCTGACCCACCTCAAGCCTTCAAGTCAGTGCAGCCACAGCTGAGCCCGTGACTGCAGCCTTGAGAGAGGCCCAGAGCCAGAGGACCCACATGGGCCGTGCCTAAGCCCTTGACCCACGAAAACTGTGAGATGGTAAATGTTTTTCAAGCCACTGAGTTTTGGGGTAATATGTTACACAGCAATAGATAGCCAATACAACCACTTAAGTACTCTTACTACCCCATTTTGTAGATTAGTAAAGCAAGGCCCAGAATGGTTCAGCAATTTCATGCAAATCATGCAGCTCATAAGCAGCAGAGCCAGGATTTGACCCAAGGCAGTCTGGCTCCAGAATCTTCACTCTCGGTCCCTATGCTATAAGAATGGAGGGATGAACAGTTGGATGGTATTCTCCTTTCCCTCGCTGGAGGGGCCTGGTGTTCACCCCTGAAGGAGCCAAGGGAAGTGGCAATCTCACTATTAACCTCATCAAACTGTACCATCAGCCCAGACAGAGCATTTTACCAACAAGTAGCCTCTGCAAGGTGTCCACATCTAATGCCTGGGTGGGAGGCGAGCGAACAAGGAGTGGGAACAGATTGCATGAGGCAAGGACAGATGCCATAATGCAACAGTGGCAAGTTGCATATCTCACCATATGAAGTTAGGGCATAGGTAACTATTCTCCGTCTCCCTCAAAAGAATGTAAAGTCCTCAAGCAAAGAATTTTGTATTATTAATTTTCACATCCCTAGTGCCTCGTAGGGGCTTGTTGTATAAAGGGTGCTGGTAGAAAGGGTGTCATATAAATGGCGTCCCTATTAAAGGAATGATTGAGTGAATAAATGAAACAAAAAAATGAGCGAATGGATGGATGAATGAAGTGAGTTTATGATGACATGGATGTATTTAACCATGAGCTTCTTTAATATCTAATTCATGTATAAAGTGATTTTTTTCAAAGGCCAAAACACTTCCTTCACTTTAAAACAATTAGAGGAAGGGGAAAAGGAAACTAATATTAATTGAGCAATTATGATGTTCCAGGCCTTGTCCTCAAATTGTGTTTAATCGCCACAACAGTTTGACTGTCCAATTTCCATTTTGCAAAGGGGAAACTGAGGCTCAGACTGCTCATGGGTCTGCCCAGAGTTACACAGAGTGCCAGATATCCGAATCCGTCATTTCAGACTCCAAAGGCCATTCCTATGCTGGTCCCGCCATTCATGCCTGCTGGATGAACGGGTTGGGGAAGGGAAGGTGCCCATGTTTAGGATGAGAGTCCCCCGTCCGTCTGTCATTGTCGTCCCGCCTCCGGCCCCCGGTCTGTCACCGACAGTGAGAGTGCCATCCATTTATGCGTTCAGTCCACAGGACTGCCACTGCAGCACTGCTCCACGCTCTGGGGGCAGCACATTTGCTTGGGGTCGGGGCTGGGATGGAGCTCTGCTCCTAGGAGCTCAAGACAGGTGCCTGGACTCAGAGCGTGTGACCGTGCTGGCGCTCACACTGAGTAATCAGCTGGTTTTCCCAGGCTCCCAGATGATCTGAAATGAGGACCATCTGCTCCTTCTCAGTACATGGCAAGCTTAAGTTCAAGCTCATGCTATGGCAAGCCCTTCATTTCCCTTAGGAAAATAGAAGGGAAAGGGCACGAAACTGCAGCGTCTGCAGTGTGCCAGCCTGGTACACGCACACTGCCTCCTTCAATAATGGCCTGTGCTGCTGAGTTACCACCGTGTTCATTTTATGGAGGCGAAGCTGACCCTCAGAGTGGCGAAGGGACTTGCCCCAGGTCACAGCCAGGAAAAGAGGAGCTGGAATGAAATGAGGCCACCCAGCTCTAGAGCACAGACTCTTTACCCCACTGCTGCACTGTCCACTGACTGCTCTGCAAAGCACTTTTGCGCACATACACACACACACACACGCATGCACACATGACCATGCTGCCACTCCCACCAGCTCTGCACAGGTAGACTGCAGGGCTCCCACCAGGGTCCCAACCAGCCAAGGAGGATAGCACTATTTCTGAATGAATTCAGCTAGAAGCCTCCATATGGCCAGGAGCCCAGAACCTCCCTGTCTCAAATATCTATTCCAGACGGAAAAGTGCCCCAAACCCTGTGTTCCGAAGACTTTGGGCCCATGGTATGGAAGCACGAGAGATGCTCTAAAGGAACACTAAACCAGTAGTAACTCACATGTGGATGTGGCCGGTATATAACGTAACTGATGACTAGCAGTAGTAACTATGATCACTAGCACTAATAAGTAGAGCTTTAGTTGGATAGTGACTAACCACCAGACACTATTCTATGTATCCCACCTGGATTAACCTATTAATTCCTCATAGCAACCTTGTCTTATGAATTTTAAAGTTGAGGAAATACAACGCACACACGGGTTAAATAACTAGCCCAAAGTCACACAGCCAGTGAGAGACAGGAGCAGGATCTAAACCCAAGCAATTGAGATCTAGAATCTGCACTCTTAAATACTACATTATACTACTTATCATTGACATGAATACAGCAAGGAGGCGGTGTGTCAGAAAACACAACCACGAATGAAATACTAACTGACAGCTGTCACTCAAACTCAGGGAAACAAGAGTGTATGGAGCAGAGGGGGTGATGAGGGAAAGGGGCAAATTGGGGGGCTCATGCCTCATCTGAGGGGGCAGCCACTGCTCATCTCCCCCTGCTTGCTGCCTTGTGGGAAGATGGCTGCTGTGTTTCCAGAGCGCCTTGTTTTGCAGAGACACCAGATACCCTGATCTGCAGTGGAATGTCTGGACGTTAAACGTCAGCACTGTGCTGGCCGTGCAGGACACACTGCAGGCTTCGTTTCCTTGCAGGCTGCCTGTGTGCAACTCATCCTCAGAACGAGCAGGTCTCAGGCCATGAGCCCTCCCCTTCATTAGGCAGTCCTGCCATCTCACTTAATTCTGATCTCGAGACTCTTCCTGACCCCAAGTTAAGATGTACCCCATCCCGCACCCACCCCGCTTCCTTCCCTCCCTGAAAGGGCCTCCACTTCTCCTGTAATCAGAGAGATTAATCCCTCTTCCCTCTGACAGCCCTCCACATATTTTGATCATTGGAATGATTTCTGAGCTGACATAAATCTGATCCCGTCTAACAAGAATGATAAAGGGGGCACCGTATTCACAGGTGGATTAGAGTAGCCGAGAGCCGCAGCCTCTGGGGCAGCTCGACAAGCCCCACCGGCCCCAGGGCTCCATGAAGGCGGGCACAGAGGCCTTGAGCCACACACTCCCCATCCCCATCGGGGATCCCGACTCCACCACTGAGCCAGCTGTCTCAACCTTATCTTTCCCCTCTTCTCGCCTGAATCCAGGAGGTGATTCTCACATTAACTCACCCAAATGAAGGCAAACTAGTGATAACTTTATTAGGATTTTTGCAGGAAACGGGCTAAAGAGAAACACACCAAAACCCTAATCATGCTTTTCTCCTGCTAAGAGAGAAGATTTGTGGGCAATTTTGTTAACTTTTCCTTTTGCTATTCCTAATTTTCCTAAAAGCACATTGTAGGATTTCTATCATAAGTCCGTAATAAGTGAAATAATAAAATATTTTGAATTTCTGATTTTACAATAAGAACTATAAAATCCAGTTCTTGCTCTGGACCAGTGGTTCTCAAACTTGAGCCTGCACCAGAATCACCTGGAGAGCTTGTTAGAGCTTAGATTTCTGGAGCCCAACCCTAGAGTTTCTGAAGCTGCAGGGCTGGGGAGGAGCCCAGAAGTTGTGGTTCTAGAAAGCTCCCAGGCTATGGTGATGCTGCAGGTCCGGGACCACTGCTCTGGAACATTCTGAATATACTCACCAAAGTTAGGTAAGGGCAGCTTCAGCCTCCAGTGTCCGCCCAGACACTTCACCTCAGAACTGGAGCCTTTACTGAGCTGCTTCCAGGGGGCTCTACGCAACACGTTCGAGGTATATCCACCTCTCCACTGCCACCCAGTACATCTCACATTCAGGTAGAACTGGGCGGGCATGTGTTACAAGATCGTCTCCCTGCCACCAGACTACCCACCTTCCCAGAACAGAAATGGAGGGCAGTGATGGAATTCTCACCTCTAGCCAACGGGTAATTTCACTGCAACTTTCAGATGCTCGTCATCCGGTCACCCCCCAGTCAAAAACCAACCTGTCCAGCTGCTGGCCTACCTGCAGGAGCTCATGCTACCTGTGGAGACAAAGAATCCAGGGGCAGGCCACACACGGAGCACCCCAGGTCCAAGCCTGTGGGTAGGAACATGAGGCACATTCTTCAAGGGAGGAAGAGGCTTGATGCTCCAAGTGGTAGAGCCGCTCCACTGGGCCTTGTCAGGAGTCAGAGGATGCTTTCACGGGCTTATTTTGGAGAAATACGCTGGTCTCACCAGCCCTCTAATGGGGAAGAATTATAACATTATTGCACAGTGAGAGGCAGATAAGCATGGTGGTGAAACATGCAGGCAGTGACGTCAGAACTGAATGAGTTCAACATACCCAGCTGTATGACGTTCTAGTCATGTGACCTGGAGGATGGCCCTGAACCTCCTTAGGCCTCAGTTTCTCCATCTGCAAAATAGGTATAATCCTGCCATTTTAATGGATTACTACGAAGATTCAATGAGTTGCCCCACATACTACATTTAGAATAGTGCCATGGCACATGGGAGGCACTCATAAATGTTAGCTGCCATTTTCCAAAACAGGGGCACACTGTCAAATTTGATAATATAGACAGGGAAGTACTTGTAAAGAGTTCTGTATGTAAAAAGACATGATGTTGCAACCAAGTATACTAGTAAATATCTTGTTCATTATGATTTTGAGTAAAGAATAAATGCTTCAAGCCAGTACAGGTAGGTACGCATGACATGGAGAGTGAGAAGGAAATTTTGGTTAACAAGATATTTGAAGAAACAGGCATGATATAAAAGGAAAGGACTCAGCAAGGAAGAGTTTTGCAGAAGACAGCAATGGAGCTCATGGATGGAAGGGTCAGAGCTATTCACAGAAGGAAATGCATGTGCCCGTGGACTCAATGACTTACTTCTTGGGCATGAAATATCCCAACTCAGGAATCCACACTGCCTCACTTGTTCTGATTAGGGACGTACCTGTGTGGCAGGAGTTCTGGCCCTGGAGATAGCAGAGCCCCTCTGCTCATGGCTTCGTGAGCGGACTTGCCTGGCAAAGGATCCGGGATGCTGAAGTCAACATCCACTCCCTCTGCTGCACTCCTTCAAAAGGGGCCAGCCTCCCAGACACGCTGATGGGGATCTTCCACCTCCAGCTCCCCAGCTCCTTTATACACCGAACACAATGTGCATCTCTAGAGCTGAACTCCCACCTTCTTTTAACGATGTGCATCTCTAGAGCTGAACTCCCACCTTCTTTTATCTGTTACAATGTCCCCCGTGAACCTGACTGTCTTCAGCACAGAGATTCTGCCTGATTCATTGTAATGCACCTAGTGCTTAGCCTTTTGCCTTGCACATAGCAGCTACTTATTAGCTATTTGTGGAATAGATGAAATAAAAGGAATAAATGGTTAAGTGATATATATGAACATCATGTAATCGTTACAACATATCATCAAGAAAACTGGCAAGATGAAATAATGTTTATAAGCTAATGTTACATAAAACTACAGGAAGCAAGGTGATGTGAATGCTCTGATTGAATTGATGGGGAAATATTTCCTTCTGGGCTGAAACTGGAAAAGGAATGTACAAGAAGCGTTGTACTGAACAATTATCCCTTACTAAGCGGCAGGACTCATGAGCATTAAAAGTCCAAGCTCTCGAGCCAGCTTCCTTGGGATCAAAACTCTACTCCACCATTTCTAGCTGTGGGACTTCGGGCAGGTATATAAGTATGCCTCAGTTTCCTCTTCTGCAAAGTGGGAGATCATATGGCTGCATGAGCGTTTTGTAAGTTGAAACATGTCCGGCACTTAAAACAGTATCTGTCACAATGCTGCATACATTTTTAAGATGAGAGGATTGGGGACATTTCTTTTTAATGCTCTTTAATTTTGTTATATCAGATGGTCCATTTTCAAGGGCACTCATGAAATCCTGCCCACAAAGAACACCAAATCACCTCGCCAGCTCCTCCTCCCCCAACGCGAGATTAGCTGACCTCCAGAAAGGCTGTCCTCACTCAACCAAAATACCTTCAGGTCTGCAAAGGACAAGGATGTAGAGCTACAACGGGAGGATGTTTGCCTCCAGCATTACAGCACTAAGTTCTTTGATGATTTCAAGAATAAAACGCCGACGGAATCCCTGTGGATACACGCTGTTGTGTCAAACTCACTGATGGTATCTGGTCCATCTAGGAACGGGAAATTCACAGGTCGGGCAGAGGCAGCAAGAACAGCTTGAGATGGGCAGTTGGAGGGCAAGTTTGAGGTCCAACTGTACCAATAACTGGCTGAGGTTTCTTTTTCTCAGACTATAGTGGGAATATTCCCAATATTGCGGGGCCATATGTGCCAAGACTGTACACAGGGGCAGGAGTTTAGATAGTCGATCTGAGACACTAGTTAAGGAGGGGGTGGAAAGGCTAGAAGCTAGAGTAGAAGGTAAATCATGGCGGCAGACATGGATGTTCAGCAATCAGGAGCACGAAGAACTGGAGTTGGGCAGAGAAGCGGCAGACACCTTCAGCCTTGCACGGGGAACGGTCCTGGTTCATGAGTGAAATCTGGAAACTCAAGATTCAAGCTGCTGCATCTCCCTGCTTGCAATGTGGGGTCCAGGGGTGATGCCAAAGTGACATACATCAAGAAAGTGATTTTGCATCGGTTCAGAAGCCCATCATTGCTTTCTAGACAGGACTTGATTTTTATTCCTTTTGCTACTGCTGCCCTGGAACTTATCCCTGGCTTACTCTCTGTTTTGGTATAAGTATGCTTTCCTCTGCATCCCAGATGGGAGGAGGAAGAGAGAAGTAATAGCAGTACTCTTAGCAGGTTTTGAGTACTTAGTAGTGCTAGACGCTGGACTAAGCACATAAGTGATGATGCTGTATGTATTAACTCGTTTAATCACAACAACTCTATGAGACAGTGTGAGAGATTCTGAGCGTTCACCAGTGACACCTCCACATCTCCCAGCCTGCCTCGGCTTGGTTGGCCATGTATCTTGTTCTGAATGGAGCAGAACAATGCATGCCTCTCCAGGCTGAGATGGATAAGTATCCATCTTGATGCCCCCATGTTTTCAAGCCTGGACTTCAAGATTAAGGATTCCAGAGTAGTGGAGCCAAATGATGGACATGGCTGGATCCCTGAGTTATTGCTTCAAGGAGAGACATCCAGGAAAGATGTGAGACCTCCATCAGTTTGTATGAGCAAGAAATGTTTATTGCTGTTAGGCACTGATATTTGGTTTTGTTTTTTTAATGGAAGCTAGCATGAACTAATTACCCTGACAAAAACAGGTGGAGACTGTTGTCATACCCACCTTACAGATGAGAACATTGAGGCAAAAGAGGATAAGTAACATGTCCAAGGTCGCAAAACCAGTGAGTGGCAAGGCTGAGACTGAGCCCACGTCCATCGGGCTTTGGGAATCTGTTCTTCCTTTTTTTCCCTCACCTTGTTCATAGTTTTGGTGGCTCTGTTCACATTTTCCAAGATGGATTTCATCTCGAACCAGCTCCAAGAGTTGACGTGAGCCCCACTGGGGGACTCACTCCTTTTTGTCCTCCCCGGATGTATATGAGAGCTGCCCACATCAGAAATTATACCGAAGACGCTACTGAGTGTGTTCAAGAACTATTTGTCTGCAATTCCCTTCTTTTTCTAATCACATACTACAATCACACCTGGCTACAGAGAGAATTAGTAACCAAAAATCTTGCAAGTTGTCTAAAAGCCTAATGAGTTTTATTTTCTAAATGTCAACAACATGATCATACCTTGCATACCTGTTCTTCACAGTTTACAGAGAAAATATACATATACAATTAGGAGCTAGAAGGTGGTACAGCAAAAAAGTTAAGGGCATGCACTTATTAAGTCAGGGAAAACTATCTTTCTGTCCAACTCTTTCATTTACTTACTGTGTGACCAGAAACAAGTCACATAACCTCTCTGTGTATCAATTTACTCCTTCTTCTTCTTCTTCTTCTTTTTTTTTTGTTGGTGAGGAAGATAAGCCCTGAGCTAACATCTGCCACCAATCCTCCTCTTTTTGCTGAGGAAGATTGGACCTGAGCTAAAATCTGTGCCCATCTTCCTCTATTTTATATGTGGGACACCTGCCACAGTATGGCTTGATGAGCAGTGCGTAGGACCATGCCCGGGATCTGAACCTGAGAACCCCGGGCCGCTGAAGTGGAGTGCACAAATTTAACCGCTACACCACCAGGCTGGCCCTTACTCCTTCTTTATAACAGAAATTTATGTTGTTAGGTTGCTCTGATAATTCAGTAAAATAATACTTCGGATTCCTAGGTTTGAACTGGAGTAAGCTGGAGTGAAAAAAGCAGTGGGCACAGACATATTGCCCCTTCCTCTGGGTAAGAAACATATTCTGTGTAGTTATTATTAATTCTGATTTTTATTGTTCCTGGAGGGCAGGAAACACATCATGTTCATCTCTGTAGGCTCATTGTCTCTCAAAGAGTATGGGGTAAAATACGTGTTCAGTGACTGCTTTTGGGAAAGCGATGAAAGAATAAACCACACGGAGAGAAAGCACACAAGGAATAATATGACCAGAAAAGCAGAGCAGGCGGAGGTCACACCACACTAGACATAGTAAGCATGCCCACATCAGGGCTAGCTTGGGGAGCAGAAGCCTTCATCCTTCCCCTTGCTTCTTACCACCACTCAACACTCCCCCGGCTCCCACACAGAAGGAATAGTGTGCATCTGACAGACTCCGGGACACCTATGGGGCACATTTGCAATGGGGGTCCTGGCTGCGCACATACTAACAGATGAGCTCAAGAGACTGGATCTTGATCTCTTCTTTCTTCCAACCATGCAGAAGATGGAAGATGCAGTAAATTGTCGCAGGGGCTGCTGTGAGGCCAGTGCTTTCTCTTGTCCTTCTATGGGTTAAAATTTGTCTCTTTTGGACTGCAGCAAGGGGCATCGGGAGCTGAGGAGAGAACAGGCCAAGCGCTTCAGCTTGATTCTCCGACATCCACAGCAGGAGTCTGGGGATTAAGCCCGGTTGGCAGATGTCTCCCAGGTTTCCTTGGACAGGCTTCTCTCCATTCATATTTCCTTCGGGAGCTCATGGGGAGGGGTGTTGGGCTGGGCAAGGCAAGTTAATAAAACCTCACTCCGATTTTTAACATTTATTATCTCATTTTCAACTCCTGACCACTCGGCATTTTGCTAATATTACTGGAATGCTCCCCGTTATAAGACCTGGAGGCCCAGGCTTTGATATCTCACATCATGGGGCCACAGTCACAGGGCAACTTTGTAGCCAAAGTGGGCATGCAACTCCAGCCTTCAGACTCCAAACCCAAACAATTCCAGGCATAGTTCCTCCAGGGCAAGGCAGACCAGGGGGCTTATTCTAATGGTCTCATGGACCCACCGGAGAATGACCCCCCTCCCATTTATTTTATCTAGAAGCAAAGTAGTACTTGAGAAACAACTGTAACCATGAATCCCACAGGATCACATCAGGTGTTGGGTTGAATCCTGATGGTGTAGATTTTCTGCTGTCCTTCATAATGCCTATCTTTTAGGTCGTGCCTCCCTCTCCCCAGACAGGTACCCTTTCTCTGGGTTCCTGGAGTAGATTGTATTGCCAAAGGTG